CAATGCAGTGGCTCACGTGGTGTGGGAGGCAATTAATCAGCTGTAAAGGACCACATCCTTTCCATGAAAGAAAAGATGCAAGCTGAACTTGATGAAGAGAAGAGAAAAGTGATGGAAGCGGAGGCAAAAGCGGAAGCAGAAAAGGCAAAAGCGGAAGCAGCGGAGGAAGGGAAGAGGCGTGTTCATTGCACATATGTTGTCAAGACGGATATCCAGGTGCACCAGTTTTTGGACACAGTGAAGTTTGTTGATTGCTGAACGTATTTCGGTGAACAGCTGGCCAATGCACCGTTGGGCCTCTTCACGTACCATGGGATAATATGGCAGCCAATCGTACATAAAACAGCACAAGCCATGAATTTCAGTCTCTACAAGGTTTACCACATGGTGAGAGGAAGCACTGTTTATGATTAAGACTGACGCTAGATTCATTTTATTCCTTTCGTTCTCCCACAAAGGGATCTTGTAGGCCTTTGTTTGGGAGCGGATCAGAATCGAATTTTTGCTCTCCAATTGGATGGCCCCTTCACCAAAATAATTTCGCAAGTCGTCTCCTGCAAGTTGTAGGACAAACTAGGCAGGAAGCTCCTTTTTCAGCCCTTTCAGTACTGATGGTTCGTTGAGAAAAGGAAATGCCGTCAAAAAGTCAATATCTGTGGGCATGGGTTATAGTTCTTCCTGCTTGTGTGGCACAAATAATCTGGCTGTTTTAAAGGCCTTCACACTTCCACTGAGCTCTTCAGTAAACCTCTGGTTGAAGTACCTTTGGCCATGGTCAATGCAGCTTCGGGCGTACTGCATCCATTGAGGAGCAGCAGTAGGATTACCAGCGGAGAGTTGCTGGATGATGGACTCTGTATTTGGGAGATGTGGTGAAGTGTGTGAAGTCCTTCACATGTTGGTTATGGAAATAAAGTGATAAAGGTTGATTATAATTATGCATTGTGATGCAAGACGTTAACTTAGTCAAGTTGGTGATGATATTCTTCTCATTGTAAATGACTTGTTTCCGGTTAGGAAGGGCGAGATAAGCTTCTTCACTCACCTCAGAGTCTGCAGTTACTTCAAGCAGGCTGTGCGGCAGTTTGTCATAGATTGATAGAGTTAGAAATGTTCCATTTTGCCATCATCATTAATTGTGCAGGAACATTTCCAGTGCAAAACTCAAGTCTTTGTAGCTTGCGGGATCTTGCTTGAAGCGCCTTCCATTGTATTGTCTGGGAGGGGGGGAGGGAAAGTGAGAAAAATAGAGAGGAGGAGAGGAAGAAAACAGAGACTGAAGAGGCCAGCTCGCGGTTGATGCCAGAAGCCAATAGCGTGGCATAAAGCAGATTGTGCGCCACGCGGTTGCTGAGCATGTGCTCTATGCCTAGCTGCTGGGCATGCGCCCTTCACGTAGTTGTTGGGCCTTGCGTCCGGACGGGCGCCCCCCGCATTCTCTTGCTCAGTTACGGCCGGGCCGCCCAGCAACTGCAAACCCACAGCCACTGCAATGTCTCCCCATTAACCTCGTCTAATTTGCATTAAACGTCATTTAATGTGAAGCCATAAGTATAGATCCAACCCCACCGCTTAATTAGCAACTTTCATCATAGTTCTCGCCACATAGAGGTAATGAATGAGCTTGGCCTCTTGGCCCCTCTCCCTCACATCTATCACAGTTTTGTTCTCGTGGTTTACGCTCAAACCATAGGGCCAGCTCCCTTGCATGCTCCTCCTCGCACTCACGGCGGCCAGCAGCTGCACCTCACCCTTTTCCTCGCCTTCCTTGATCTCCCCTATAAGCCACCACACACCCCACTCACCACCGCCACATCCACCACCCCCGACACCTTCTCACCATCCACCCCACACCAGTCGCTACGTGGGTCGTTGGTGGTCGATGTCCTCACATTCATCTCAATGTCGAGGATGGAGAACATGGCTGCAACAAACGACTTCCCTGCCCCATTCGACAGGAGGTTGATATGCTCCTTCCTCGTCGTGCGGAGGTGTCGGAACAGAGGTCGCAGAAGGAGTGGGACAGGGACTGACGGCTCCGTGCTGGACTCTGAGTCGTTGAAAACGATGTATAGGTGGTGCAGAGTTCCCTCCAAACATCCTCAGAGGCCCCCTCAGTGATTGTAGTTGCGGAGGGAGATGGAGTAGGTGTTGGGTGCATAATCGACTATTGGAAGATACGTCCTGTGAAAGTTCGTAGGGTAGATCGTATCAAGCTGCCGCTCCTTCATTTTGGAAAGGTGTAACTTTCGCCCCTGCGCTCCGCCTCCGTCTTCTTTTGCCCGCTCGTGCTCCGCTGGCTTCGCTGATCGGCGCCGATCGTCGAATGGGTGACCGCGTGGGATGTGATAAAGGTGAGGGTTCCGTTTCGGTAACGCGCGGCCCTTGGACCGACTGGGACTATACCAGAGGTGTCGGCGTCACGCTAGCAATCCGCGGCGCGGCCCCTTGACAGCCTTGGACGCCGAAGACGTCCGCGCAGTCTGTGCTGCTGTGGTGGCGCGCCTCCGCGGAGTCGCGCGTCCATCTGGGAGAGGCCATGTGTGTCGCCGAGCTGCTGCTCCGATAGTGCCAGGCTGTATAGCGAGTCATGAGCACGTCGTCGTCAGGTCTTCTTCTTGCAGACTGCAGACAGTAACATTGTTGTGCAGCACGCGTGCTGGGCCCGGGCTCAGCACTTCGGCGTCTGTCCAGGACCGTTTCCAACTCCTCGCTTCGGTCAGTCGTCCCGCCATCCTAGTCTCAGATCAGATGCAGACCGCAGCGTGACGCTACACAGTCTGCTATATATATACGTAAGTCACGGTACTACTACTCCGTACTACGGGATACAATGAATCACCGCATGCCTCCAGGAGGCACTCCTACAGGAAAAGGGGTGAACAAGCAACCCTGAAGGTGCATGTGTGGGCAGGAATTAGCAGACGTGGCCCTACACCTGTTGTGATTTTTGAAGGAATAATGAATGCCGAATTGTACGTCTCCATTTTGCGAACTGGCTTTTTACCTTTTATTCGGTCCACCTATCCTGATTCACATCGTTTCATGCAGGATAATGATCCTAAACACACTTCGGCTACTGCAAGAAGGTTTTATTCTGAAGAGGAAATTAATTGGTGGAAAACACCTCCTGAATCACCTGATGCTAATCCTATAGAGAATCTATGGCACGAGCTAAAAGAATACATTAGACGAGAGATTAAGCCTTCTACTAAGGTGGAGCTTATTGCTGGCATTGAAAAATTTTGGGACACTGTTAGTGTAGAGAAATGCAATAAATATATCAACCATTTGCGTAAAGTTTTTCCTCGTATTATACATTTAGATGGAGCAGCAACTGGATACTAAAACAAGTTGCACTGGCTATGCATATGTAATGTATATTTATTGTTTTTACGTTTCTGTCCAATTGCTTCCCCAAAGGGCACTTTTATCTTGTGCGCATCGCTTTTTTCCGTAGTTTACACAATTATAATAAATTTATGGAGACAATGTTTAGTAGCATGGCAAAAATGTATGGTTTCGTCGATGAGAGGTTAATGAGTGTGATACATCATATGCAATGTGTTCTTCATACTTGGTGAAGAGATGAAAGCGTAACAGATGAAAAAGATGAATGAAAGAGAATAGTAAATGCATGGTTGGCAATGTCTATTTATTGTAACGCAAGTTTTTACATTTCTGTCCAATTGCTTTTTTGCATTTTCCCCAAAGGGCACTTCTATCTTGTGCGCATTGCTTTATTCCGTAGTTTCCGAATATTATATTCTTAATTTCTTTCATTTTTTTCTCATCCAGACTGGCAGCAGTGTTTGTGCGCATCGATTCTGTGCCGAAGAACACATATTGAGCCAAGTGCACTGCTGCCTTGCCTGCTTTCACTTCCCCCTTGTTGTTTCGTCGGAATGCTGTTGTGTTTGGCCTCTGTAGTGTTGTGGTGTAGTCTCGAATTCCTCTGGTTGCAGCCCAACCCCAATATGAGGTTGGTAGGTGGGTCCTGGGTTCTTTTGTTGCCTAATCACTGATCCAGGGTGCTGTCGGAGTATGGATAGCCACCTGATAACATTGGAGTGGTGCGTACGAGTACAGATTGTGGTGTGGGGGAGAGCATTGAGGATGACAGTGAGGCTGATTGTCAGTGCCCTTGCTAGTTTGAGCTTCGTTGTGTGGAAGAGATTATGAAGAGGTAGAAGAGGATGCTTGTGGATAGCAATACTGGGGAGGATACGATGGAGCAGTTGATGGCATATGTTTAAGAGGAATTGTAGGCATATTTTGAGACCAGAGGTTTCTTCGTGGTGGTGTGGATGGACGGCTGTAGTAACTATAAGCGGATTCTCTTGGGGATGAAGGGAGGGAGCAAAGCGATTCTAATAGTGCACTGGTGTCTTCGTCACTAAGTTCAACAAACGCAGGTGTTGCGGTGGAAGTGGCAAGTGGTGGAGCGATAACAGTAGGAGCTGGTACAATTGACATAGAAGCTGGTGGGGCCGGTACGATTGATGTGGGAGCTGGTGGGGCTGTTACAATTGATGTAGAAGCTGGTGGGGCTGGTACAATTGACTTAGAAGCTGGTGGGGCCGGTACGATTGATGTGGGAGCTGGTGGGGCGATGTGGAGTGGGGGCGGTATTGATGTAGAAGCTGGTGGAAAGAAGCTGCATAACTTCTCAACCCTTCATGAATAGCTTTAGTCATCTGATGAAGATTTTGAGTGAAATTTTTCATGCTTTTGAGCGTTTCCAAAGTTTTATCTTCACACAATGAAGTGTTTGAGCAGTGAGTAAACTAAAGGTGGCTCAGTGCATGCTTTACTTACATGTATCCGCCTTCCTGGTTGGTAGTTTAGTAGGGCTGTCGGTCTGTGATTGCCTCTCCTAAGGCAATAATAGTAACATGAAGTTTATCAAGTTGACTGAATTGTGATAGTACTATTTTTCTGTTACCTTTCTCGTGAACCTTCAATAGCTTGCCACTCTCTTTTCCCTTTCTTCCACCTCTCCCTTTTTCCAGTTTCTCCTTTGCAGAGGAATAAATGTGAAAGAGCAGTAAGCAGTGCTACTATACAGCAACTTACATGCTTCAACTTCTTGCAGGGTTTTTCTCCAGTATCACACTCACTATCTTTTTCAGCTCTCTCTTTTCCCTTCTTTTTTTTCCTCTGCAAAGATGGCAATGTAATGGTTGAAAAGAGAAAAGGTGTCATTTACAGGTTTGCACAGTTTCTGGTCAGCAACAAAATTAGCAGTAGGAGGTGATTGGCTGGTCTGGTGGCAGTGCTGCAGAAACAGAGGCAGAAACATTTGAACACATTCCACATGCTGAACTGAAATTATGTGCTTACCGGTGATTGATGTCTGCTCCGCTTAATGGGGAGAGCCCAATCCAGAGGATTTGCTGGTATAACATCTCCGTCACTGTCCCAGCCCAGGTTTTTTCTCCCCCCATGTTCACTGTCACCGGGCCTCCTTCAGCCAAACTCCCATCGATCACCCACTGAGCTGGGACATCCTCCACCTTCCCGTCGTATTTTTGGAGTTGTTGCACCCCCATCTAATTCTTAGACGTTCCACCACTCGCGCAGCAATCGGTTCCGCTACATGTACTGCCCCGCCCCCTTGTTCGACAGTCGGCGGCTCCGCGGAGAAACCGTCGGCTGAGCCCTCGGCCGCCGCTGTCTGATCCGAGGTCTGATCTACTTCAAGGCCTCCGTCCGTCGCCACTTGACCTTGCGCGTCCACCTGTTCGTTGTCCGCGGCGGTCTCTGCCAGTTGTGCCGCTCGCTCGGTCGCAGTCTCGCTCGCGTGGTCGTCTTCGCCCGTTGTACGCACGTCCGACATTACCCCGCTTGGTGACTGCACTGACTCGCTCTCCAAGAAACTGCGGGGCTGATGAACCGGTGGGTACGCTTATAATAAAAATAAAAAAACTTCGGAGCTCCCATGGCGTCGATCTCAAGAGGGTGACTGACCGCTTTGGTTGACAGAACTTAGTGGGTGACTGACCGCTGCATGTAGCTGCGGTGTAGTAAACTGTGCTCTCCCAGGCGTCAGTAGTATCAGTATTATAATACGCAAGCGTAATTGTAGCTGTGTATTGTGTAGCTACGCTGTAGCAGTTGTAGCTACACTTACAAAAACATTGGGCTACATGTTGTAGATCGGAGTATATTGTAATTACACTACAGTACGTTTTTGTAGTGTAGTGTGTAGAAACCACTTGTAAATTTGGTGTGTTTTTTCTGACTGGTACTGTATATTTTAGTAATGTCAATGTCTGACTGGTCTCATTTGATACAGCAGAAAAATACAATATGACGTTGCCTCCTCATTTCCTCCTCCCGCTCTCTCCTTCCTATGTCCTCCTCCTCTCTCTCTCTCCTTCCCTCCTCAAACCCTGCGGGTTTTTGGAACACTATAAAAGCACCAAATGCAACCACCATCTCAAACGCTTATTTTGCACTTACACATATAATTGGCCAGATCTCTCTGCGCTATAAAAAAGAAAAGAACTGTTTGTGTAACCCCAAAGCTAACTTACAGACGGTTTTCTTTGGTGATAACATGAGGGGACTCGCTGTGGAAAGTTATTATAATTGTATATCCACTTAGCAAAACTCACACATTCTCAAGTTTTTTCACCCATTCTGGAGTGTTGCCTGGCTGCGACTGACTAGGCCAATGAAAAGATGGTGAGGGGCGAGAGTGTGACAAGGGTGATTTTGGTGGAATTCTCTTGTTTCTAAAAAAAATATAGTTGAAGCTATAGCTACTGCAGAGTTAAATCATTCCTTCAGCACACCGCACTTACCCAAACTGGTCAAACTCCAGCTCGGGACCTTGGCGGACGGCGTAGGAGTCGCGAGAGGTCTCAGGCGTCTGATATAAAAGATGGTTATACGTAGCTTACGTGCGAGAAGCACCGTACCTCATGTTGAATCGATCTCTGTATATATAGTTGAGAGTTAGTATAGTTACAGATGGCCACACCGTTACACTGAGATCTGTCTCGTCACTTCTTGGAACTTTTCCACCATCTGCATGCAGGTGACAGCTCACAACGCGTTTGTGGATCGTGCGCGAGCCCTCCTAAATTCACGCAGTTCAACCACATGTCTGTCAGCTCCTGAATAGATGAGCCGAAAGATGCCACTCAGATGGTGCAGAGAGCTGTTTTCCTCCGCGGTAGTCTATTCATCTAGTTAGTGTAAACAGCGGCGCTCAAGGGCTTCTAGGGTCTGGCTTGAGTACTGCATGCAATTTACTGTAGTTCAGAAAACAACGACCATTCGACTTGTGACTACTCTATGCGTCAGTACGATGTGACTCGTCTATTGCATAATACTGTCTTATTCTGGTTTAAAAATATGATGCACATGTCTCCAGCACTATTAAATATTTTACTGCATCTTCATGGATTCACTCAATTCACTCTCCTTTGGAGGATCATAATATCTCCATCATTACTTCTACTCTCTCTTCTTGCACCTACTGGACGTGTGAAACAATAATAATTAAGGTTCCTGTAGAATAATGTTATTTAATAGACGGAAAATAAAAAGGAGAATGTGATATGCGGATGATGAATTTTTTGACATCTGCTCTTATGATCACAATATTATTACATTATTAACATAACATG